TCCCTGGCTTGGAGCGCCCCCATGTGTTGTGGGGTAGAACTGCTCCTGGGGTTTCCCTGGCTCAGGGCGCCCCCGTGTGTTGTGGGGTAGAACTGTTCAGTGGGGTTTCCTGGCTCAGGGCGCCCCTGTGTGTTGTGGGGTCGATCTGTTCCTGGGGTTTCCCTGGCTCAGGGCGCCCCATGTGTTGTGGGGTAGAACTGTTCAGTGGGGTTTCCTGGCTCAGGGTGCCCCTGTGTGTTGTGGGGTAGAACTGTTCAGTGGGGTTTCCCTGGCTCAGGGCACCCCTGTGTGTTGTGGGGTCGATCTGTTCCTGGGGTTTCCTGGCTCAGGGTGCCCCTGTGTGTTATGGGGTAGAACTGTTCAGTGGGGTTTCCCTGGCTCAGGGCGCCCCTGTGTGTTGTGGGGTAGAACTGTTCAGTGGGGTTTCCTGGCTCAGGGCGCCCCTGTGTGTTGTGGGGTAGAACTGCTTGGTGGGGTATTCCTGGCTCAGGGCGCCCCTGTGTGTTGTGGGGTAGAACTGTTCAGTGGGGTTTCCCTGGCTCAGGGCGCCCCTGTGTGTTGTGGGGTCGATCTGCTCCTGGGGTTTCCTGGCTCAGGGCGCCCTCGTGTGTTGTGGGGTAGAACTGCTTGGTGAGGTATTCCTGGCTCAGGGTGCCCCTGTGTGTCTGGGGTTTTCTTGATGAGCCTTGGCTGTATTGTGACCCTGCCAGTGGCCTGGGGTCTGTCAGTACCTGCACTCTAACCCCTCTTACCCCCCCCCCCCAGGTGTGGATGTGGAGGCAGCCAAGCGGGCAGAGGAGGAGCTGCTGCTGCATGATACGAGGTGCTGGCTGAATGGGGGCGCCATGCCTGAGGCGCGGCACCCCCGCACTGGAGCCTCGGCCCTGCACGTGGCCGCTGCCAAGGGCTACATTGAGGTGATGAGGTGAGCTCAGCTGCCTTACATGTGTCAGTAGGCCTCCTGCTTGCAGTTGGCAATTTTATTTATTTTTTTTTCTCACTTTCATGTCTTCTGGTGATGTTGGTCATTTCCTTGTATTTTAGTCTCACCACTGAAGTTTACAAACCAAAAACTAGAACACCCAAACTTCCTGCTGTCAATTTGATTACAACTGATGACAGCCATTCACTAGGTTGCTAAGGTTGTGAGTCTATAGCAGGAGACTTGTGAGAAGAGCAACTTAAGAGAAACTGGTGGCTCTGAACTGCAGACCTATTAGCAGCCCAAGTCACAAGGGCTCCTAAAGGCTACTCATTGCCCTCTAAATTCAGCCTTAGCTGCATCCACAAGTTTTGACATGTAGTTTTTCCATTATCGTTCAGTTTAAAAGAGCCTCTCATTTATTATCTTCTTCTGTCCCACAGACTGCTTAGAAGTATGACCTTAACTTCCAAACATATGGGATTTTCTAGTCATCATTTTATTATTAGCTTTTTGGCTTAATTGCATTGTGGTCGGAGAATGTGCTCAATGTGATAGTCCTTTGAAGTTTTCGAGCTTTCTTTTCCAGTATATGAGGACTTGGAAAGAATGTGTCGTTAACTCCGGTGTTCTAAGTAGGTTATGAGGTTAGCTTTATAATCATGCTATTTAAATCCTTAACATCATTAGACTAAATGGAGTCTCTCCTCCCTCCATTACTCTGTTGGTATAAGAAAGCCTGCTGTTTGCCACTGATGCTGACTCGGCGACTCTGTAGGCCAGTAGGGTCTCCTGAGTTCCTGGGGCTGGAAATCTTCATGGAAGCGGCCAGCTGCATTCCTTTCCTGGGGAGCAGCTGGTGGACTTGAACCCCCAGCCTGTTGTTTAGCAGCCCAGTGTTCACTCCATGGAGCAGTCAGGGCTCCTTAGTCGTGGAGTGCTGCTGGTCAACGTCCCCGCTGGGGTGCAGGTCTGTCTGTCCCTCCCGGTACCTGGGTCGGTTTCCTCTCCGTCCGAGGCAAGGGTTTTGGTGCGTACACGTGTTGCTATGCTACACGTCCAGCTTTGTCCTGGTCCCCGGGTCCTGCTCTGCCCTTGTTGGGTCCCTGTGCTTCCCATGTGAGTCCTTGGTCCTGTCGGACCTCCTCGCTGTTCTGAAAGAGTGGATCCTTCTGGTTCATCCCTGTTGGGCTAACGGGCTGCTAATTTCACTTCGCCCTAGGTCCATCCAGCGTGGTAGAGGGGTCGCCTGTGGGTCTGGACAGGAGCTTTTTCACCAACCCATTCAGGAGTGTTTTCCTGGTGTAACCGCTGGTCCTGCCGCCCTTCCCTGGCCCAGACCCTCGCCCCAGTCCCCTTGGGGTCCTGACCCTGAACCTCCCTGGTCCCTAGGCTGCTCCTCCAGGCTGGCTATGACACGGAGCTCCGGGACGGAGATGGCTGGACGCCCCTGCACGCCGCGGCCCACTGGGGCGTGGAAGATGCCTGCCGCCTGCTGGCCGAGCACGGTGGGGGCATGGACTCGCTGACCCACGCGGTGAGGGCCAGGCCCGGGGTGGAAGGAGGGTGAAGGGAGGGGGCATGGGATCCCCCCTCATCAGCCTTCGTCCCCGCACAGGGACAGCGTCCCTGCGACCTTGCAGACGAGGAGGTGCTGAGCCTGCTGGAGGAACTGGCCCAGAGGCAGGAGGATGTGAGTCCCAGGCCGAGGGCCAGTCACAGCTCCCCCACCTTGTTGCTCCTCGGGTGTCCAGGACCATCCCCCCACCCTTCGTCCCTTCCAGGGACAGGGTCTTATCTGTTCCTGGAGGACCACCAGTAGGGGCTGGGGACAGAGCAGGACTTGGGGAAGGCCCTCGTCACTTCTCCAGTTCCACCGTCAGCTGTGGACCAGGCCCTGTAGTTAGAGACCCTGACTGCAGGGTCCTCAACGTGGGCAGCCTCCCTCCCTTCCCAGCAACACCTCTCTCTCTGCAGCTGCGGAACCAGAAGGAAGCCTCCCAGAGCAGGGGCTCTGAGTCCCAGGGCCCCTCTGGCAGCAAACACCGCAGGTAGCAGGGGGCGCCTGGGTCAGGGGAGGGAAAGGTGCAGGTCATCCCAGGCTCAGGCCACCTGCCCACTCTCCCCTCCCAGGAGCTCCGTGTGTCGTCTGAGCAGTCGGGAAAAGATCTCCCTTCAGGACCTGTCCAAGGAGCGCCGGCCAGGGGGTGCGGGGGGACCCCCCATCAGGGATGAGGATGAAGGAGAGGAAGGCCCAACGGGTGAGAGGCTGGGGGTCAGGACTCCAGGATCTGAAGGAGGACGAGGGAGGGGGGAGGACTCC